TATCAAATTACATTACCCACGAGTTGCTTGCATGGGTTCCTCATGAAAATTATTATATTATTATTTATTTTATCTAATCTAACCTTAATTAACCTAAAGAATTTCCAATTTTTACATTTTAGTTACTTTTATAATAGTAAATAAAACATACACATGAAAAACAAGAAATAAAGCACTTACCTGGGCCTTTTTCTTTTTGCTGTCAACTGTCAATGACACTACTTTTATTTATACTCGTGAACTAAACAAGTTTTATTTAATTAAATAATGCACCAAAAAACATAGAATAATAATATGCAAAAAGAAAACAATTTTTCTGGCTTTCTAACTATGCGACAAGAGCCACTACAAATTCATCCAAACTAATCAATGTGTTTCCAATGGGAACACAGCTTGTAATGAATGAGAAATTAACATTTTTCTATAAAGAAAACAAGGTAATATAATACGTAATCTAATAGATGAAATCCTTGGCTTTCTATTGGTTAAAAATAATTACTATTAAATGTAAGAGTGAAATATTAACAAACCCTGAAAGAGAGGATGTGAAAGGTGGCCGTGGCAAGAGAGTTCTGATTTATTTTTTTTATTTGATGGCTCTGTAACCAAACAAAAGTGAAAATTATCTTTCCCTGAATGATGACAGCTTTGTAATGAGTAAGTTATGTTAAATTTTGTACTTCTTGGAGGGTGGGTAAATAAATTAGAGAAGAGGGGATGCCTAGAGAAAAAAAAATGTCACATTTTCACAGTAGGGGAAATTCAGGATTTTTTTTAAATACTGCCATATAAAAGTAAGAACTTAAAACTTATAAGCTATTAAAGTATGGATTATTAGCTATGATTTTAAGCTACACTAATTGGTATAACATGAACAATAAGTAGTTTAATTATAGTTTGAATGTAACTCACTAAAAACCTCACAACATGCACAGTAAGGGATGCCTGTGTTGCAAGGGATAATTACTGCTGAAAAGTCACTATATATTTTCTTCTTCAAAACGCCAAGGAAACCATGTTGTGAAGAGAGTGATGGGATCTCACAAAAAGAAATAAACTATAATTTAAAAAATTATCTGTGACAACCTTGTTCAGTTGCAATATCTTCAAGTCATTTCTTAAAAGAATTCTATGGTTAATTGATTGTTGCATTATTTTGTTACAGCTGATGTGTCTGGTAGTTCTTGCAATTTTGAAGTTTTACTTTATATACTAGGAACTATTTTGTTCATGAAATACAATGTATGGTACAACTAAACATTAGGGTTTTAGAATAAAAACATACCATTTACCTCTTTTCATTAGTGGATGTCTTTAGAAAGAGTTAAGACTTTTAGTGCTTGATTTAGTTGCCATAATGTGTTAAAATGATGAACGTTAAAAAGATTCTAAGCAAGATTTATTAATTGCCAATCAAATTCAATAATGATATGCAGTTTTTGCTAATAAAATCCATTAAACTATTTTGTCCCCTGTATATACATTTTACCCAAAAAAATTGTGACTAGCTTCTGGGAACATCACTCATTTTATGTAATTATAAACAGGAAAGTTGAAAAACTTTGGCAAAATTTAAGGTTTCAGTAAATTTCTTTACATTACTGGTCAAAACTATCTAAATACATCCTGAACATTATTTATTAAAAGCAAGCAGTCTTAAGATGCTTTTAATAACTAACATGAGCTTGATACTATAAATAAAGGTTTGTGTGATAAATGTAACAGAGAGAATATAGTTATGACAGTTAACATTCCACCTGCATTTCATATTTCCATAAAACATGTTTTTTTCAAACAAATTATTTGTACAATGTAGAAACAGTCTTCAGATAGGGTTGAAAGATTTCAAATTAAATATCTGAAATGGAACAAAACCTGTTTCTATCACTGTGAGTAAAATATAAAAAAATTATTTTCCAGGTAGTCTGTTTATCGTACCATGGCAGCATATCCTCGGACCACCTGCCTCTGCTTGAGGTTACTTTCACCATCAAGATTAGCAGTTTCTATAAAACACAACCCTTGGTCATCACTAGACCTCAGCAGCACTATGTCAGCAGGTATGATTTCATTGCAAGAAAGATGAACTATGTCTCCAACTTGAACATGTTGCCATAAGGTTTTAACATATCGTCCATCTTCCCTGTAAACACACATGTGAAAAAAATGAGAAAGATTAATATTTGTAAATCCTGAGTTCACAAAACTTTTTTAACCACATTAAAATTATTCTGCTGTAAAACAAGTAAGTAATATAAGAGACAATGCATTCAGTTTTATTAATAGTTAACAAAAGAAATAAAATTTCAATAAAATTTATATATGTATAAAAACTTTTAATGAAGCAAATTTATTTAAAACTGGATAAAAATAGCACAGAAAAACTTAAAACATTATTCCATACTTGCTTTTCATAATCTGAAATTATACATCTATATTCTGTTCTTATACAATTAAAAATTACACCTGCTTCAACATGGTATACAAAAAAAAATGTTCTATATGATACAATTCTGAATAACAATACTCTGGCATATTACTTTTACATTAATTTCATTTGTTATAAAATTGATTTCATTATCTGGGTAATAATTATTATAAGCTGAAGTAATAATTTTTAATGTGCTATTGTGCAATAATCCAACTATCGTAAGAATATTTGAAACTAATTAGATTTTACTATACACTGCTTTATAATATAAATTTATGTGTGTAACAAAGCCACCTATAGGGTACTTTGGTCACTATACAACTCAAGTTTATTTTTAAAGTCCAAATTTTGTGTCCATGTAGCTACATAAAAATTAGCCAGTGAAGGCTAGACACACAATCAGACATATATTCAGTATTAACTAAGATACTTCTGAATATTTGTTTTATAATTTTATTTCAATTTGTTTGTTAAATTTTGAGCAAAGTTTTTCAAATGTTATTTGCAAAAGCCATCCTCAGTTTTGAAGCAATAGACTAGAAGCAAGATAAACAGTCAACACCACCCACTGATAATGCTAGAAGTACTTTTGTCAGACCAAATACAGAGAATTGACAGTTGCTCTTATAATGCACCCACACCCCCAAACAGCTGAGCATGATTTGATTTTTGGCAATAACAGGACACAAACAATTCATTAGTACTAGGAATCTCAACAGAAGGTAATAAATACCTTCTAAAATATACTATTATAAACAATAAGAACTATTTACCCCAAAACAACTTCTTGCTGTTGGGTAAACATGGTTAAATCTTTTATTCAAGTAATTTCATATAATAAACTACTGAGACTTTCCAGCAACTCTGAACATAAGGTTAAAACAAAATGTGTTCAAGAAATTTAAACTGACTTTTTACATGAAAAATTATTATTAGCATACTGAAATACACTTCTCAATCAGTAAAAAAAAATTATATATATACAAATTTTTTTCAATTACTACCAAATGTCATTACCCCTTTGTAAGCCATTAGGTAAAATACATATACTGAATGAAGTAATCAGCACAGATTACAAACGTCTTGTTAATTTTAGATAAAAAAAACAAATATTTACTCAAAAATTTACTTCCATTCACCAGATAAATAATTTCAGAGATTACAAACATAAGACGGGAGAAAAGCATGTTTGCTTAAGAACAAACTTGAAGTTAGGTTTCAAAATATTGTAACTATTATCATGAGTATCTACACTCTGATGCCAAATCTATTAGTTTAGTAAGATTTACCTCAAGCAGTTTGACTTGCACTTTCAGAGATGTAGCTACAGAAAGCAGCAGTGGGTGGAGCCACCCAGGATTTGTTCTTCCCACCCAGCACTCCCATACAATATGACTACTGCCACACGGCACTAACTATCATTGAGAAAAAGTTCACCATAAGCATGAAAAATTTTTTGTCGATGTCACAGTACAGTTTACTTTGCAATTAGCTTGTTAAAAAGAAACGCTTTTCCCAAAAAGTCACGATGCAAATAGCCTTTGTGCTAAAATACTTTAAGAAAAGTCCACATGGAAAAAAACAACAAGCAAAACTGAACAAATGGCCCATGCCACACTAATTCACTTGCACTTAGCATGGGACATCAGTCATCCACAGTGGATATCATACATAACTTATTTCCTTTCCAGTAAAAGTTTATGTGGTGCATAAAAATATTTCCAAAACTTTACAGATATCTAAAATATAAAAGTATATCAATGTGCTTTTTTGCATTAAAACTTTTTTAATCTTATTCTGACTAATTTGTATCAATCATCTGCTGTTAAGGATAGATCAATCAGAAAAATGAAACTCAGCCTAGAGTAAAATTTGTCTCTGCCCTTAGAGTTGTCTTTCACCTTATAACATGTGTTTGCCTAGTAGCTGCTCGTGTGGAGTGTTTTATCAGATTTTTCAAAGGAATTTACAAATTTTCAATGTCATTAAAATTATAAACATGGAAATAATAACTTTTTTTTCCTGGCCAGTGGAATGGGGGGGGGGGTACGATGGCGGGAACATCCACGTGCATCTATGAGCTAGACTGGTTTTTTACCACCCACCACTCAAATCATCCTAGCTACAACCCTGAACATTTTGAAAATCCCAAGTTATATCACCCCTTAAGGTCTGAACTAAAACTGTTTATAACCTTTTCAATATGTCAGTATTCACCATACATGAATGAAGAAACCAAGCATTAAATACAGTACTTTAACGTAATCTAGAATGTATAAATAAATAACTAGTATATTTCTTATTATGAAGAAAAATCCTATTCACTTGAACCTTAAGCACCACAGTTTAAAATAATGTAGTACAAATTCCAGTCTATTCTATAGTTAACATCTAAATCCTTATTTTTCTTGCATACCATCGGGCTGTTTGAATGTGCAGGTAAAGTATATGTAGATTATATCCTGTTGAAACACTTGGTTGGAAATGTAAGTGTCCGTTTCTCTTTCTCTTTTACTATATCTTTTATGCTTTTAAAATGCTTTGATATCCAGGATAAAAAACTTCTAAGAAATATTTTATCTGGATTACAGAATGTACAGATTTATGTAGGCAGAGTGAAATGACATACACTTCCCATGAAATAATGAAAGAAAATATTTTCAAGGGGAAATGTAATTGATAATTTTACATATCAAATGTTCTAATATGTTTTTAAAATAATTTAAAATCACATTTTGAGGTTAAAAATTAAAGGGGGAAGAACAAAACTTCATATGAAAGTTTTAGATATAATGTTTCAATGAACTTAATAATTTTTCATATTAGTTCTTGAATCATTTTATTCTTCATTGAGTGAGTATATAATTGTTTGTTTGACACATAAGCCTATAACTTGATCAGTCAATATGTTTAATGCATACCACTCCTTCAGTATATGCACAAGAAATATTAAAACACTAACAGTAGATTAAGATTTGATAAAATAGATCTTTTTAATTAACCTTTCATCCTAAAACAGTTATGTTCAACTTTTGGTTGTGAGTGAAAATTATTTGGTGTTACTTTTCAGACACAGGTTGTTTCTGATATATGCATATAAATCACTTAAACTTTCAGAGTTGTATCAAATCCATGTATTGTAATCAAAGTTCAATGTTTTCAGATGATTGTTGTATATCAGTAACCTTATAGTATATACTTTTAAACACCGAATAGCCTGTATTGTGACCCAATGTATTAGCCAACCATGTGTTCTTGTTACTTATGTACCATTATTCATATAGTCTCTTATAAAGCTAGATACTCCCAGTTATAATAGTCTAGTTTCCTTTTACATAATGGCCCTCTTATCCACTTGCTTGAAAGCGTGATTTATTCTTGGTATGTACTTATGTTAACTTTTACAGAATTGGCATAAATTATTACTTGTTATTGCTATATGAAATACATGACTAAAGATAGTTCAAAATACATTCAGGATGAAATATACAAGTTTAAGTAAATACAACATCCCCCAACCTAATCATGGTAAATGAGACATCCTAAAATTATGTCAATAAAGTTGTTTACTTGTGCTTTAGTCTTTAGCCTCTGCTACAATGGCTACTAGAACTCCATTAGACCAATGAAGGAACATTATAACATGCTTGAAATATCATGACAGTGCAACATGGAACTGGCAGAATAATAAATTCATGTCTGGGCACCCTATATACATTACTAAGATTTCTTTATAAAAGAAATGGGATATTCAATATCAAGATACACAATGCATGTTTACCTTTGCAAAGATATTGAGCTTAGACTCCTGTACTTCTATAGAAAAGCTGAAACAGCTATAAACTTAACTTTAATATGCAATCTGTGATGTAGAAGGTACTTATCACAAGAATCCTATGTAGGATAAGGTAAAAATATTAAAAATTGTTTTTAGTCATTTTTTAATTATTTTATTTTTAGTTGTTTTACTTGTTTTTTTTTCTATACAAAGTTTTAATTAACAAGACCTTAAATACTGGTACGTTTTGACTAGCACACCACATTAGAACTTCTCAGCTACGATACTATTAAATGAGCTTAATATATTTGTGGTTTATTGAATACAAAAACCTATTTAAAATATGATTGTATATTATATCCACCAACTGAAGTTTCCATTATGTGTTTGATGCCTTTTTCAATTAAATTGTACCTGATGATTCTTTATAAAATGTCTGTGAAACAAAAACTTACATTTCAACATTACATTCTGTTTACAAACTGCACTGTAAAATGACAACCACTAACTAATGCACATTTTACAAATTTCACAAAATTATTAAAATCACTGAAAATTCAAGACTTGTTACTCTGATCTAACAACAGCTGTGAGACGAATGCCAATCTTTTTCAACATTCTATGAAGTGAACTACTAGAAAAGTGGGAATCTTGAAGTCTTACATTGTCATCATAATTTAAGCTCTGCTCTTAAACCAGCTTTCTGTCAGACACTTATAGAACATACTAATATAATTCACAGGCAACAAATACATAAAAAATGTGCTGTGACAGCTTTTTTTTTTCTAATGCAACTTATCTGATGAACATGTACAACAGTAAGAAGCAATACAAATATGTTTACTGACCAACTAAAATGACAGATAATTCATATCCAGTACATTTTTTACCACCAGGCTCCAATTGAAAACAGTAATATTTAGTAAGGTTTAAGAGCTGTATGTTTCTCCAGGTATGAAGAAGACAGATCAATGTTCTGTCAAAACATGTAGTATGTCCCACCATCAATAAAACTATTCCTTATTCCTTATGTTTATCAGTCATTGTTTGCCTACCTATTATTATATTATATCAGAGAACATTATGGGTAAACTTTATGAATGAGGCTTTAGAGAACTGCCAAATTCGGACTCACAATGGGGCTGGTAACTTGAGTGAGGCACAGAGGGGAGTGAGTTCAAGAATATTGGCCCAAACTCCAAAGACTTTATACACTCATTATGTCTCACACAAATTAAACTTAGCTGTTGTGAGAGCCATCAAACTTCCTTATGCACGGAATATGATGGACTCGGCTGAAACAGTGGTGCAATTCTATAAATTTTCACCAAAGTGGCAGGTCAACATTGAGGATCTCCACCTGAATGAAAAAGAGAATAGGAAGAAATTAAAAGAAACTAGCAGAAACACTGCTGTAACAGCAGCTGTTTGTGCTAGTAATTACTAATCACAGTATTCATACCTCATTGAAAAAAAATTAGAAAAAGTACTGGGAAGTACTGCATGAGAAAAGTGTTGGTGTTGTGCTCTTTAGTCATAGGTAACTCATTATATCAAAATGATTCAATATACAGAGCTCAAAAGTTATCATAAATTTTACTGATATAAACTATAACGTTTTTGTATGTTAAAAATGGGACCATTTATTGAAAAAGTAATATTTTTTTTTTTTAAATTCCAGTTTCTCAGTGCTACATTTAAAAAACTACATCAATAGATATAATCAAACCCTCATGTACAGTGAAAGTCATGTACTTGTTGTGAGGAGAGTACTTTTATTTAAAATTGGGTTCTATTATAAAGACATGGTTGTTGCCCATACCACAGTTTTTTTATAGTTATATGAATTTTGAATACTCAAAGTGTGAAATTTTTAAGGATTTTTTGTTTGTGGAGCCATTTAATAGATGGCGCAAAAGTTTTGGTTATGTACATAGATATTGACATACACGCTACATTCATTATAGTAAGATGTGTAAAACAAAGTGGATACAGCACCATGATGCTATAATTTATTTGCAATTTTGTATAAACTTATGGTTAATTTTCTTGAGGATCTGTGTACACTCCCAAGAGGCTGGAATACATTCATGATGTGTGATGCCATATCTCTCTACCATCAGTTCACATTCATATCAGCCCCAAATAACACAAAAGCAATTCTCTCATATGTCTACCCAATCAGTGTTAGCCTGCAGTCCAATAACAAAGATGTGATCAAATCTGTCTCTGAAGTCAAATCAGTCATTGATGCCCTCCAGGAAAAACATCAGAACATTGACAATTTCCATCAGAACATCTTCAGAGTCACTACCACTACCTCAAACCTTGTGAATGTTGAACCCCAGGCTTCAAGAGCTGTAAACAGAATACGCTATCATGAAAACATGCCAGTAAACATGTTACTTTAAAAGAAATATGACAATTCCAATACTGGATGAGATTATCACAGCTTTGAATGACAGGTTTTGGAGAGATCAAACAGAAATTTACAGGCAATCAGTGATTATGGGAATGTAATAGGGAGAAGTAGAGGGGCATGTAAGGAACTTTGCTGCCAATGATACAAAATATCTACCCAATCCTGACAATCTTGGGGAAAAGATAAGCCCAGAAATATGTTTTGAAACCAACTAAAAAAAGCATGCCAGTAAACATGTTACTTTAAAAGAAATATGACAATTCCAATACTGGATGAGATTATCACAGCTTTGAATGACAGGTTTTGGAGAGATCAAACAGAAATTTACAGGCAATCAGTGATTATGGGAATGTAATAGGGAGAAGTAGAGGGGCATGTAAGGAACTTTGCTGCCAATCATACAAAATATCTACCCAATCCTGAAAATCTTGGGGAAAAGATAAGCCCAGAAATATGTTTTGAAACCAACTAAATAAAGCAGCTGGCACACTGAAACTATTAGACAAAGCATTTCTCCCCCACTTACACCACATCCTTCTCTTGTTCTGCACAACTGCAGTTACCAACTGTAAGTGTGAGTGAAGTATCAGTGCACTGGACTATAGACCTATGTTCACAACACAATGAAGGAAAAGCATATTAATGGTTTGGTTCTGTTGCATGTATGTTATGGAAAAGGTACCGACATCGACTTGGTGGTGGATAAACTTACATGACAAAATCCTAAAAGAATGCAACACCTCAACATATTTAGAGATTAATCTTCTGTGCAAAATTTTGATTATGTAATTAGAGTATTACCATTCAACACATTTATCATAAGTTAATAAGCTTTTCTAAATGTTGGGGATGGAACTTTGTTTTTCTCCTTTGTAAGTGATAAATGAAGATCTGTTTGTGCCACTCAGACTATATTATACATGTTCTTTCAGTAATAATTTGCAATAAGGCTTTATTTAAAAAATATTGAAATTTGTGGTGTGACCCCTGTCAGATAACGGTCTGTATCTGCACCTGAAAAAATAACAACAATCCAACATTTTGATTACAACCAGCAGCAGGCCTGCCAACAAAGGGGAAAGGGGCAAAGGGATCTGGGTGAATAAAACATGGTTATGCCATAAAGCACATTTTTACATTTATACTGTGAGCTAAAAATGGCTACTGCTATTATTTTTCTTGTTTATGAGCTCGTTCCTGTCCTCATTTAGGATCTTTTTAATAGATTCTTAAAAAATGTTAAAAAAGAAAAAGGGGAGCCCAACAAGGATGTTTTTATATATAAGCTATATATAAAAAACCTAAAAAAATTATTTCATTTCATATCCTCCACATGCAAAATTTTAAAGGCTTAGCGAACTACATCAAGTACAAAAGCCATAACTGAAAGAGAATTGTTTGCACGTGCGCCATGTCATTGTAATTTCTGTATTGTTAGCCAGGCACGGCTGAAAGATCAATATAATAAAAATAATAAATATATATAAATGTATAATATTATGAGATATAAGCTATTTACTCTAAACATTTGTGTTTTCGTGTTATAATTTGCAGTCATTCTAGAGTGACAAAGGCATAATTTATATTTATTTCCCAACTTTTTATGGTGGTTACAAAATTGGTCAAATTGATCGAACCCGTACAGAGATTTATTACTGAAAATAACAGATAAAATATAAAGTTTTTTCTTAAGAAACATTTGATAACTATCTGGACATTATAAAGGTTTCACATGTGAAATTTGAAAACTTTCTGATGCATAAAAATATTTTTAATCTTAAAATGAAAATTACTTTGCATGATAGATAGGTAACATGCAAAAAAAAAGGCTTGAGAAAAACATTGCTTTACAAACCATAAGACTTAATAAAAAAAATTATATTTTGCGTATAAAAACATTGTAATGTTTACTGATAATGTGCCAAATTTCATTAACATTCACTTACTAGTTTAAAAGTTATAGCATGAAAACTATAATAAGCACAAAATGATTACGAAGTCAGACCCAGGGACCGAGCCCATGCTAAAAAGAGTTAAGAAATGGGGCATCAAGAGTTCAAGAGTTGTTCCTGAAATTACTATATGCCATCCATCTAAAAATCCCCTAAGGGTATGATTTTGTTCTATGTCTCAAATTTTGAAATTCTCATTATCAATATTATGACCTGTTAAAGAAACACATTAAGCTAAATCAGACTCTTAAAAGTTTTCCATTTTTTGTGGCACACTTTTATTCCCCAATTTTAATCTTTGTCGTCCTGTTCCCAGTGCATTTAATATTATAACATTTACAATCAATTTTATATACATTATTCCATTTTTCTAATGGACATCTCTCATTCTTCAGGTGCACCACCACATATCAGTATGATTTTTAATTTATATTCAGTTTTAGTGAAATACACTGCATTGTCGTTCATGGATGGAAATGAAAAGTTCCCCAAAATGATGTTAATTTTGATTAATAAATTAGCTGCCTTTTAATTTAACAAAAGTTAACATGAAAAGCTTACACTGATGTAAAGAAGATGTCTTATAATGAAATAGAGTTCATTACTTAAACTGCTAAACCATCCCAACGCATATTACAAACTTATTGTCCTTAACTCTTAAGCTAAACAAATAGTTATAGAATAAATGACTGCCCACTTACCAGCTGTACACTCTACATGTCAAGTTATTGACTCTCTTATCAGACAAGTAACGGCGATAATCTTCAAATGCATCTTTCACAGCAGTTACTCCAAGCACAAAAACTACAGGTATCATAGAAATTTCCTTTCCAAAAGCATTTATCTGAGGTAACCAATTCAAGAGCACAATACCAAGGAAATACAAATTTGCAAACCTATGAAACTGTTCAAACAAATTTTTAGGTATAAAAGAAAGAAGACTATATTTTGTAGTGCATATCCTATTATTGGCATAGCCATAATGGGGATGATTTTTGGAAGAATGGGATCCTGATAAAGCATGACTGACCAAAACTTTTCTGTACTTTATTCCTTTTCTTTGAGTAGCCCTTCTGCGGAATATACTCTCAAAACAGGAAGAACTATCTATGGCTGCACTGCTTGAATCTGAATTGGATGTTGATGGATTTCGTCCTTCATCCATTCTAATTATGTGACACTGACTTCATCTAAAAATAAAGTAAAAATTAAAAAATAAGTTTTAAAAATTCAACTTTCAAGAATTTTAACAATTTTATTTTCCTGCATTCTTCTTAATTTGTCCACTTCATATTCCAAATCAGATATTTAGAAATAGAATTTTATATCTGAAATGCTTTTTTAAACAGCTCCGATTTGAAATCCAATATGGATAATTAAGAAGAATGAGAAGGAAAACATTGGCAGTTTACACAATTTTTATCCCAATCGTTAGGTACATTCTAATTCCTCACCAACTTTCTGCATTTAAACCATTAATTTCATTTTATTTTTTCACATCACACTAAAGCCTCTGGAGAGGATGATGTGAAGCAAAAAATCAGCCAGCTGAAGCCTTGAACTGTCTGATTACTTAACCAATGGAAAACAAATGTTTTAACTGTAGTTCACATACCAGCCTGTAAGATCTTCTCCAAAGGCCAATGAAAACAAGCAAGAGAGGCTGTGATATTCTACAACTGGTGTGAGGTGATGCAAAAAAGCATCTGGTCAGATTCACACAAAGAATAATAAGTGAGGAGGATGAGATGGCAAACTCAACCAGTTAACAACAAATAGAACAAGTCCTGAGAGAAGGAAGCCTGCCACAGTAAAAATAGGCAATGGTGATTTCCAAAAAAAAGCAATGGACAGTCTGTAAACGATACAAAAGACTATCAGGATCATAACAATCATACAATGATGAAATACAGGGGAAAAGGATAGGACAAAATGTCCAATCACCTTCCCAGGCAGCCCAAGTTTTTGCTAGAAAGGAGTGGACTGGAAACAACATCAACTGAAAGTAAGGGAAGTGTCTAAGGCATAAATGTCTGAATGATGATGATCACAAGCAAAGAGAAGGTAAGAATATATCTTGAGAAACAAATGATACAAGGAAGAGAATGTAAAAGGCTAAAGGGGGGGGGAGGCATGGAAGAGCCTAAAGAACCACACACAAGCCCAGGAGAAAGACCAGATGAGGGGTGAAACGGTTATTGCCTGGTAAGTATCAGAAGATTGTGGAAAATGCCCCATTATAACCTGCACTGGTCAAACTAGACAGGTCCTAGATGAAAAGCTAGGAAAAGAAGGGAGAAAAATGCAGAGGAGTAAGATGACCTGGCTAAACAGAGTGGCTGTGGAACCAGTGACAGTAGACATGCCATGTACATTGATAGAGGGAAAGAGTACAAGATTGACAAACTTCAGAGAGAAAACAAGGTAATCCATGGGAAAATCCCATACATCATGCAAAAGACTGGACAAATCCCATGCATGAAGATGAATATGTGATAACCAATCATGAAAAATGAAAGACTGAGGTTGAGTGAGAAGAGACCTCCAAAGTGGGAGCCATAAAAGCATCAATCTGAGCAGTTCCAAAATAGGAACAAATCCAACAGAAAACCGAAGGATGTAAGGAACAGTCCATGAGATGAATCTCATCAAGGCAGAAGAAGAAATCTGCCATCAGATACAAACTCCAGAGGCACGACATGTCATAAGATGAAGACAAAGTCTAGAGCAAAAAAAGTACAGGAACATCTGCCTACCTGGCAGTTGACTGAAGTAATGACTGCAGAGTTGTTTGAATTTATCATCACAAAATAACCTGATAACCATGACCAAAGAAGAGGGCAGGCCAGATAAACCATGGTCATCTCCAGAATATTGATGTATAGAGAATTCTCATCTTGAGATCAGTCCCTGGCGAGAGTGATGATGTTGAGAACCACAACCCAACCTGGAAGTGAGGCATCAGTGTAAAGATTAGGGATGCACGAATAGTAAAATATGTCCAAATACCGGGTCTGGCTACTTAGTCACTAAGCTTCAGCCAAGGCCAGATGTCAACAAGGACCACATTTTCCTCTTGCACCCCAAAAAAACAGCATACACAAAAATTAGAAACAAAAACAAAATTGACATTTATTACATTTAACCAAATAGTCACCAACAGAACATTCAAGTTTTACTTTCAACTTTCAATGCCTAGCCACATCTTCTCAAACCCTAACCCCAATTGTTCTCAAAACCTCCAACTGAATCCCCAACTTTCAGTGAGCAGTCAGTTTTTGTTGCTCGGAATGTTTTTTTTTTCATAACAAACAATTATTGACTATAACTTTCAATACCACGTTAGTTGCCACAAAGATTAGGGCTTAGATGCCTAACTTTGACACTCGGCCAGAATTCTATGGTATAATAAATTTTTTGGTCATAAGAAATGACACCATGGGGCAGTATTCTTTAGGCTGACCTTATTGCTAGACACACACAATTACTATCCTTTTTGAAAAGCTATATATGCATTCAGTTCAGTGGTAACAAAAAGAAAAGTATCCTACAGGAGAATCCTATGTTAAATCTCATTTTGTTGCACTTTTGAGGTAAGATATCTGCTGATGTGGGGGGAGGGGGTTTCAGACAAAAGAACGATATTATGGAAGACAATAACTTCAATATTAGAATGGTGTTGTGTATTTTGTGAATACTCTTAAAAATTAAACAATTATCACTTTCAAACAAACAAAATGCTGCTTTTCTGCACTACGGTGTTTTTATTTGTCATTTACTCACCACAGCATAGAGCTGTTTAAGATACATAATATAAATATGAAACCCAATCTATCATTTGATTCACCACTTGTCACCGAGTTATACCAGTTTCACAGAATTCCACTCATCAGTAACCATGGTTTAGATCAAATAAAATAACACTTGGCTTCTTATAGTTGTGGATTGTATATGTTAGGTGTTTTTAGTTCTGTTTTATTCACCACACTGAACCTATGATTATATAAGACTTCAAGAATACGTAGTATTGACGCTACTATTTTATATTTATTTTCAGTGTTTTAAACAGCTTGTTTGCTGAATAATTGAGATGAATAAGTTAGTAGCATCAATGCCTTGTTAATCAGCCTCTTAAGTCATCCAATTAATGTGCTGTTGCTAGTGGCAGCACAAATAAGATTTTAGGTTGTATCTTCAAAAACATTGAATATGAGTTTAGAGGTTATAAGTTCATTGTATATGTCACTGGTTAGGCTGCACTTGGAGTATTGTGTCCATAATGTCATTGTATAGGCCACTAGCTAGACCTCATTTGGAGTATTGTATTCAGGCTTGGGCTTCTTATCTTAGGAAGGACATTAAATTGTTGGAAAGGATTCAGAAAAGGGCTACTAGGATGATACCTCAGATGAGTGTGTGTTTTCTTATAGAAAAGCCACATCAAACCCCTGGTTTTAGCATTGTAAATCAGAAGACTTACCGCTGTCCCACCAGGGGACAATACCTGGGATGAAAAGTTGTCACATGAGGACTGGTTAAGAACACTGAAATTGTTTTCTAACAGAAGTGTTAGAGAGGATCTTATTAATGTGTTTAGGATTGTTAAGGGATTTAACAGTGTTCATGCATCATCTATTTTCTCACTTAATGATGAGAATGGTAAGAAGAAGGGCCATAAATATAAATTTTTGCATGGCAGGAGTCATTTGCAGAGGAAATTTTTTTTTAGAGAGAGCTTGACCTTTGGAATTGGTTGCCTTCAGATATCATAGATGTAGTTAATATAAATAAATTAAGGGAGATTAACAGAAATCTGGATAAGTATTTGAATGATGAGGACTGGCTCCAAGTTTTATTTTTATTGAGTTTAATATAGTGGATGGGATGGCCTAGATTGTCGTCTTTAAAGTTAAAATTAAATTATAATTTATATATATATATATATATATGTATAAAAGTTTTGAGATGGCTTGACTGGGTATTGAAAAAACTTTATACTTTATTATAAATGTCCGACGTTTCGACAAGATTTTGTCCTGAAGATAACAAAACCTTGTCGAAACGTCGTACATTTATAACACAGTTTTTTATTACCCAGTCAGGCCATCTCAAAACTTTTATTTTCTAAAAATAAAATGTGGGTTCCTCGTTATCAAGTTTTAATACATATGTATATGTTAGTATTATTACAAATTTACGATCCAATTCAAACCTTACTCCTTTAGCTTAACCTTTTGTAGGTCCATGCTAACAACTGTCAATTACGACCATAGTTACGTAACTTAGTTGAAATTCCCGACTTAATTTTGAAAATGAATTATGATATACTTACAGTTACAGTTTACCAGTTGCACACCATGAAAAGAAAAAAAATTCAAAAGTAAACTTTAAAAAATCATATTTTTCTTAATCATCTTGTTACAATGAGCAAGATGGGCTCATAGTGACATTTTGATTTTATCGTACTAACGAAGTCATAACTTTTAGTTAACTTTCGCACATATTCATGTCTTGACAAAATTTAGTGAAATTCACCCTATCAACTATTAGAGAAGTTTACTTCGGGTTCTAGTGGCGTCGCCTATCAAAGGAGGAGGAGATCAAAGCAGGGAGCAACAAGTGGTTGTAAAATTAAATAAATAATTGAAGAGAATATTCTCTCGATTACTAAAACAAAAGCCAGCTTTCCAAGCTCCATTAGTTTTTTGTTACTAATTTAAATATGTAAAACCATATCAGAGAAAATGTAAATATTTACAAACATTTGTAATATTGTTTGTCTATAAGTTTGAATATATTTACAATCAGGAAATATCACAGACCTACTGAAGGATGTGTAGATTGTATAGGAATTATTTTTGGCGTCAAAGGACAGGTTTATTTGTTTTAATAAAGGTAGCTTGAAAGATATAGAGATGAAAGGTTGACAGACTATTTGCAATAATTTTTAACTTGCTATCCGTGTAGTTGTAATTTGTGCAGATACTTTGTATGGCGGAGAAGTTCAGTGCCCTCCAATACCTAAGGACCTGTTTATTGAACTGATGACATGTTCTGTGGAATTCAGCTTTAATGATATCATGTATCAACAGATTGAAGGAGTCGCCATGGGTTCTCCTCTTGGACCTGCCTTAGCCAATATTTTCGTTGGTGTCCATGAAAAAGAACTATTCAACAAAGTTACCAGACCTGCTGTTTACTTTCGCTATTTAGACGACACATTTGTCATTTTTAAAACTGAACAGGAATGTGAGTGTTTCTTACAAGACCTAAACTCGTTGCACTGGGCTTCAGATTTACTTTCGAAAAGGAACAACATAACTCTTTACCGTTCCTAGACGTCTTAGTTGAAAAAGATTACTTTCGTTTTCTCATCGGTATATACAGAGAACCTACCTTTACAGGACAATATACACGATGGGATTCTTTCAGTCGCAAAACGAACCTTATTGCTACTTTAGTCCATTGGGCTCTAGTTATCTGTTCAAAACCTAAACTAGATTTCGAATTGAAGACAATTAAAACTATTTTACTAG